GGGCAGTCCCCAAGTTACGCGGATCCGACTTACATCGGATCCGCAGATACTAACGGGGATTTTCTCGCCCCAGAGGACTGGTCCCACCGCCCGCCTCCTCCGGGGTGAGAAAAGCTGCTCCCCGTCTCCCTGGTCTGCTGGCTCCCTGATCTGGAAGCGCCGCGGGTCCGGCCCCAGGTCCTGCGCCGCTTTGCTCAGCGTCTCCCTGGTCTGCTGGCTCCCCCAGCAGACCAGGGAGACGGGGAGCAGCTTTTCTCACCCCGGAGGAGGCGGGCGGTGGGACCAGGCGTCCCGCTGCTCCAGTCCTCCGGGGCGAGAAAATCCCCGTTCGTAACTGCGGATCCGACATAAGTCGGATCCGCGTAACTCGGGGACTGCCTGTATAGACCTGGCCAAAGTGTCAAGATATTGGTTTGGTTTATTTAGCCATTTCATTATGTGGAAGTGCATTAACAATCTGATCTAATGCCCAGGGAAGTCAGTGAGTCATTTCATTTACTGCAATAGAGATTGAATCAGGTCCTAAAACTTCAAGGTACCAGGATATTTCTTGTATTGTGTTGACATGATGTTACTCATTTTAAAAAGCTCATTCCTACATTCCTACATTCAAATTAAGGTACCAGGTCAAATATATTACTGGAATTTTATTAATGATATTTAAAATATTTTAGAAAGGTGGTTTTTTTATATTTTATTATTATTCTTTCTATCCTTGCTTCTAAGTCCACTTTTTTATAGGCCTAATTAAACAGAAATCACAAAGAGAGGAAAACATATAATTAGTAAATTTAAAATATTTCTTATAATACATCATCGGAACATGTAGGTCTAGAAACCAGTGTTATGTGCCCCATTAAAATCTGGCAATCTCCTCTTTCCTTTAACATAAAAGTCCTCTTTCTAAATATCAGACATTAGTTTTGTTTCTTATTCAGGATTGAATGTTTTCCATTCTAGGCCTTGAGCCAGTTTAATTGGGCGGGTGAGAACAGTATGCCTTAGAGAAAGGACAGAAACATTTTTAGGGCAGGTTAATCTTTTTAAATGGCAGCTATTTTGAAGCTGCTGAAAATTTTGGAAGATTTAAAGTCGTTCCAGCAGAAATGGATTAGTGGGCAGAGTGAAGGAGAAACAGTCAAAGTAGAACACAGATGAAAGGCCAGAAGCCGAACTTGGAAATCCCTTGAATTTATGTATTTTACTTATTTATTTAGATTCATAGCGTCAGCTCCTCGGCAGATGTAAACTGGCGTAGATCCATTAGAAGCAATAGAGTTATGCTGATTTGCACCATCTCAAAATATAACCATAAAATATAAAAAAAACCTATCCTTGATTCTAGGTTCCTGTGTCAAAATTAAAAATGTAATAAAATGTAAAGAAAACCCAGCATCTACTTCCAACCCCTAATAATAATAAGAACTTAAGAACATAAGAATGGCCATACTGGGTTAAACCAATGGTTCATCCTGCCCAGTATCTTGTCTTCCAACAGTGGTGAATGCCAGTTGTTTCAGAGGGAATAAACAGAACAAGTAGTCATCAAGTGATCCATCCCCTGTAGGCCATTCTCAACTTCTGACAAACTGATGCTAGGAATAGCCATTGATATTATCTAGTTCTTTTTGGAATCCTGTTACTGTCTTGGCCTTCACAATATCTGCTGACAAAGATTTCACAGGTTGATTGTGTATTGTGTGAAGGAATATTTCCTTTTGTTTGTTTTATACTTGCTGCCTGTTAATTTCATTTGATGATCCCTAGTTTTTGGGTTATGACAGGGAATAAGTAACACTTTCTTATCTACTTTCTCCACATCTGTCACGAGTTTATAGGCCTTTGTCATATTCCCACTTAGTCATCTCTTCTTCCAAACTGAAAAGTGCCAGTCTTATTAATCTCTCCTCATATGGAAGCTGTTCCTTACGTTAATCATTTTTGTTGCCCTTTTCTGAAACTTTTCCGATTCTAGTATACCTTTTGTGAGATGATATGACCTTATCTGCACCCAGTATTCAAGACATGGGTGTACCATGGATTTATATAGAGCCAATATGTTATTTTGTCTTACTCTCTATCCATTTCCTAAGGTTTCCCAACTTTCTGTTTGCTTTTTTTGACTGCTGCTGCACATTAAGCGAATGTTTTCAGAGAAAAGGCCCAGCAATACTCTTCTCTCTAGCACAAACATCAGCCACCTCTTATGACATAGCCTCCCTAAAAACCTGTGCAAGTTGTGTTCAGAGAACTATCTACAATGACTCCAAGATCTCCTTCCTGAGTGGTAACAGCTAATTTATAATCCCATCATTACGTTTTCCAATGGACGTTACTTTGCATTGATCAACACTATTTCATCTGCCATTTTGCTGCCTAGGCCCCCAGTTTAGTGAGATCCCTTTTTAATTCTTTGCAGTCTGCTTTAGGTCTAACTGTCTTGAGTAGTTTTTTATTACATCTATATATATATATATATATATATATATATATACACACACACATACACACAGAGAT